GGGAAAAAGACAGAATAACCCGGACGAACCCATGTCGTGGGATCTCAGGAGACAGTTTCCCACAGACAGTTACACGGCCTCAGGAGTCACGATAGAGGAACTGTATAATGGAAAGGAATTTAGCCGGCACGCCCTTCATGGAGAAGCAGTGCCACAAGCTAGCGCGGTCAACAGATTCGAAGGCGGCTTTCAGGTCAAAGAAAACCACGGTGGTCGGTTTTTTGTATGTGCGCTTCTGCTCTAAAACTTGAAGAAGAGTAAATATGTGGTCGAGGTAAATATGACCAGGGAGAAAGCCAGCCTGGCATTCAGTGATTCGGTTCTCACGAGGATCAGTGAGTCATCGGAGAGTGATACCTGTAGGGCGTTTGGAGGCAATGGAAACAAGGCTAGCGCCACGATGATTTTCCCACAATGTACGCTGACTCTTTCTGAAGATGGGCGCGGCAGTTGATAGATGCCAGTTTGAAGGCATCATCATCATCATACACGTAAGCTAGAGGTGGGGAACACCTCAGCTACTGTGCCGCAATACACAGAAAAAGGAGAAAAAAAGCAACTGGTGTAAGTCGGCTGAGCTACCGGTAACGGATGGGCATCGTTCCGGTAAGCTACCAGTCGGATACTGTGCATCAAAAAAATACTATGCGAAATTATATAAAGCTAAATAATGAGATCGTGGTTGGAGGGGGAAGCTAAGAGGGATGGGGTGGGACAAAGAAACTCATAGCAAGAACGCCACTGAGATCGGCTCCTAGCCATACCAGCAAGTGTCCAACCGAACGTGTTCATCGTCTTTCGGACCCCAACCAGGGATCCGAGACGCTCCAACTGAGGCCAGCTCAGAAGTGAGGGTCTGAAGGCACATTTTCAGTGTTCCAAATCGTGTTAAATAGGGAAGCGAGTACAATCAGTTGAGAATCAAAACCATCCTTCAGCAAAGATAACATAAGATCATCGGGTTAAGGAGCCATGTTTCGTTTCAACACGGAAAGCTAATATTGAATGTCTTCCAAAGTGGGAGGTACGACATCTATTTCCCACGTCTGCTACTCAGGTGATTCGCAAGCGGCAGTGTCGCAGCAGACTTGCTCTTCAAAATGATCCTCCCAACGGGCTAGTCGACGCGGGTAAGAATCGATCAACTGTCGATCTTCCTCCGCTACTGTCTCGCTAACTGCTGGCTTTCTCAGCCTCGTGGTCCATAGGAACTGGAATAGCACTCGGATGTTTGCAATAGCACTGACTTTCTCCATCACAAGCGTCCTTGCCATCCACCAATGTTCCCAGTCAATTCGAAGACCCCCTATCAGACGTCATTTCAGTGGTACGGATACGCTGAAAAGCAGTGCCCATCGGAACCTGTTTCCGCGCTTCGATCAAGCTGAGCGATGTCTCGGAGATCCATTCGCACTTATGACATCACAAGTTGGGTGCACAGCACGTGTCAAAGGCATTCTTCATGGCACACTCGAGACGATCCCAGTCAGCATTCGGATCAAGATCTTCATTCATCACTGACAATTGACCGGCCAGTTCGACATGACATTGTTGAACAGCAGACTGAGAGTTCAATGAATAGGTAAGAAGATACGCACTTTTTTGAATCAGGAACTGTGAGGGCCAAGCGTGCGCGCACTAGAGCATGGTCGGAATCCAAGCACGTGCTCCAAATTGACCGACAGCCTTGCACAGACGTGCGCCACCTGTAGGCGATGGTAATATGGACAATTTGGTTCTAGGTCATTGAGGAATACGGTGGGCGCGTGACGCTGTGCTGCTAAGGTAAAGGTTGTGGTCGGCGCACAGTTGCAGGAGTCGATCATCAATGACCTGCAACAACTCAGAAGCGGTCGACCAGGTGTTTTTCATAATCTGAAAGACGACCTACTTGGGCATTCATGTCGCCATTCGAAGAAATCGTCTTTGATACCCTTAGAACTACATTCACTAGGGGCATAAACTGAGGCGATAAAAAGGCACCTTGTTCTCAGACGCTGCTCATTAATTGCAATAGTGTATTGAAGTCGAACCGCTTAATTGTTGTTCACCGGTATTCAGTCGAGCAGATTGCCTTCAGAAGGTTTGCTGAGGGCAATACATACCTTGAGCTGTTGATTCAGTATCGGCAGAGATGCGAATAATGTAGCTATTGCCGTCAGATTCAGAACCATGGATACGAATATTTGTCACGACGCTGTTGTCGAGAACGCGTGTTTCGGAGACAGTAAAAGTCAGTGTTGCCTGCCGGCCGGTTTCTCCTAGAGTGCGGACGTTAAAAGAACCAAAGTGAAATGAAACAGCTACATGTATCGATGGCAGCAGATGATGGGTCAGCGGCAGTCTTTTGCCCAATGGAATGGGAAGAGAGGGGAGAAAAGCAGAAGAGACAGTAATGTCGACGTGGTTGAGAGGATAGATGATACTCTCCGGTTGCCTATTCCGAGAGAGGGGTTTTGTTTCAGGTGCCCTGCCTCTAGCCTTTGACTCAAAAGTCTTACGCACAAGGCATTGGAGGATATGGAGGTTCGCTTGACGGACTCCACGAGGAACCTTTGGTTCAATAGCCGAACGCATAAGGAAGTTGGAAGCAAGTCCAGCTCCCAGTGGGATCTGCTTGAGGCCTGCTATACACAGCGTTTGAATCTTTAGAACAGTGCACACGTGTTTTACGACCGTATTATGTTACGCACCTGCGAACACCGCCAGCCGCAGGTGGGAGTTGGCTCATCTGCACCAATTTGACCTAGGGCTGTCTGGCTTGAGGAGGGCAGTAACAAACCATAGAACACCCAGAGATGCCCTCCAACAGTCAGAGACAATGCGTGGCGCTCGTGCTTTACGTCAATCGACCTTTGAGCTTATAACCCATAGACCTGTGTCTCCCATGGCTATGTTTTAAAGGAAGAGGGCCACCGACCTCTCCTTAATCTCCGAAGAGGACTGGATTGTGAGACTGAGTTAGTCTGACCCCTAACCATTGAGCTGTCTGGTATGAGTGGCTCTGAACGCAATTGAAAAGTGCCATCCAGCGTAGCTCAATGGGTCATGGAGGCACGCAAACCATCGCACCCCGTTGAGGTCCAGTCTCGTTGTGATGGTGTAAGCAAACGCACGAAGACAGGTGTCGGAAGGGGTCATTTATTTAAAAAAAGGCGACGGGCATAAGATAGATCTGAATTTTGATGAGAAACCCGTTTCTGAAAGTGGTGCCCAAGTCTGCACAGAACGATTAGAACTCTGATCTATATCATTTAGATCAGGAACTAATCTGAAAGATAGCAAAAAACGATTACGGTAAGTAAAGGGAGCCGTTCCAACGGAAACAAGCGCCAAATCAGTTCTAATCATTAACCCGGAGGACCAGATGACTGAAATCAAGTGATCGCTAGCCACTGGTCAATCGAGCAGCGGTAGCTCACTAAGCACTTAAGAGCACTACCTATCATAGCTTATTAAATAAAGGGGTGGTCGGCCGGTGGCCGACTGGTCTGCACGTTTGCTTTGCAACCATAAGGTCACCGGTTCGAATCCCCGTAGAGGTGGGCGTCCTCGCGGTATACTCAGCCCGCGCGCGACTGATGGTGGTTGCGCGGCAGCGAAGCGCCGTTACGGCGTACAGCTGACACATTTAAATAAAGGGGTGAGCTAAACCACCACATAATGTTAATACCAGGCTTTGTTGCAACGATGATAAGAACGAAATATTTCATCCATCTAAGTAGCAACTAAGGAAACTAGATAGTGAATTGAGAGACGATGGTGCTAGGAAACCCATGGGGTTTATGATCAGTATAATTGTACACGTTAGCTGCAAATGGAAAACACGTTATTGTGCCGCAATACAGAAGAAAAAACATGCAACAGATGCACGCCAGATTAGTCACCAGTAACAGGTGGACATCGTTCCGGAGAGCTAACAGACGGCTATCGTGCCACAAAAGAAGTTATTAATTGAGATTGTGGTTGGAGAAGGGGGGGCTAAGAGGGATGAGGAAGGATAAAGAAACGCACAACACTAACGCCATTGAGGTCGGCTACTAGGCATGTCAACAAGTGCATCCAGTGTTCATCGTCCTTCGGTCCCCAACCAGGTAGCCTAGAGGCTCCAACAGAGGTCAATTCCGAAGTAAGGGTTCATGTTCAGTAGCATTACCGCAAAGATATAGTTCTTCACAAAGGTGGAAGTCATCCCATTTAGTCGTATACAACAGACAATCGAATATGGCCGTGCGTGAAGCCATTATGACGTAGCGCGTGGAACAGCGGTGGATGATAGGCAATGCAGCTCGTATTCAGCAGCATGGAGTAAGTAACGGAAACCAGATGTATAACGCAGGTCAGTCTACTGCTGCCTTACAACAAGAAACAGCGTAAGGCCCAAGGAAGGTGATGGTGTGGAAATAAAAAAGAAGACGTAACGAAGACTCAGGAAATCGTATGCTCGCTCTGCCGATAAGTAGTTAGTGCCATGGACCGAAAATGCGGGTACGAAAAGTATTCGCCATAAATAAGATGGCATATGAATCAGATTGAAGGACATAACTCGTTGCCACAAGGGATATTCCAAACTATTCACTGCCGAACCGATGCAGCGCTGAAATCGGATGGATCAGCCAAAACTGCAAGGAAGTTGTTCGGACAATAAAACACCATCAGATGAACAACCGTGTGAAGATCTGCACTTTGTCAAGCGTAAAATTATGCAATTCGCTTCATAACAATGGGCATAGGATTCAGTATTGCAAAACCAAATGCACACGTATTGATCGTATAGCACAATCATGTAAGTCGCGGCTAAGACCTGACCAGAACTTCCATCGTCTTTGCCGGACGGTGTTTCAGTTCACAAGGCAGCGTGAAATCTGGAAGAACAAGGAAAAGCCGGCCAGACACAAACAGTCTAGACAAGGACTGGAACGCTATCTCATTTTTCCAATAAACGCAAAACAACCTTTGCAGCGGGATTATTAATATTAGATAAGAGCTAACATGGAGAAGCAAAGTAGCCGTGATTCGGGACTTGTTTTGGACTGTGATTTTTGTGCGGCTTCACCTACTTCATCCGGTCTTGTGTACACTGTGTCAACAGACCTATTTCGGCGATGTTCGCTTCATGCACTTGAGGCTGTTCGGTTCTAACTCCAGGAGACGTAACAATAACGGAATCTTCCGAGCTAAAGTAAGTTACACGACCGATAAAAAGAGCATATCGGGTCAGCAATAAAAGTCCATGTGTCAGCAAACGCTCTTTTATTCACCACACTAGTCAGTTAATCAAAATACTTGATCGAGATGCTTTTAAAAAGCAATATTCTCTGTAAGAGAAGAACGAGGCACGCTGCAATCGCATGCATTCGTCCCCCGTTTGATGGAGGTTCAAAAAATTCAGTTTAGTATGAAATTGTAAATGACAAGTTCTTCTGTACCACAAACTGCTCGGAGCACAAGTCAGGAGTTCAAAAATGGAAGATCTAGGCGAATACGTATTCTTGGAAAAACCTACTAAGTAGTTGGTGGCGCCACACTGTGGTGAACAGCATAAGTGCTGCCACTTGAAATGAAATGTAAAGTGATAATGGACCAAGGTAGAAGAGGCAGGATTTACTGGCGGCGCTGGGAAAGGTGCAGTAGCAACTAGCTCCACCTTAATGAACGGAGTCCCAGATGACAACATACGAGATAATGGTACATAAGGCGCTTTGATCTTGGTGACAGGAGGGCAATCGCAGAGGTAGAAAGGGGCGAAGTAAAGGGAATACTGAATAGTGACTAGTAAAGCCTAATAAATGTTGAATTGAAAAAGTAACTAGAATTACAGAGAAAGGTCGACTGCATGTAAATACGATGTCCAGGACACTAGTGGTGCCAATAGTTTAAAGAGGTCCAACAATGCAAGAGTGAAGCCTAAAAAAGGCAAATAAAAGTGCGCTTCGTCTGTTCAAAGCTGTCTACGCGCACGCAATGTGGGAGCATCAGACAGCAAATCTGAACGAAGGGATTGGAAAAGGCTTAAAACCAGTGCAGGAACAAATCAAAATAGCCAAAGATATTAAGCACATACATAGTTGGATGAAGTCATATCACAGAATCTTTCAGTAAAAAGGTTCACACTTGATAAACGGCGGGTGAATCAGAATGAAATGAACCACACGCTGTGAAAAGCGAATAATAATAATAATAACGCGTTTGGGGCAGGAGAACTCATAAAAAGTAAACGCCGAACCACAGCATTTGCCCTGCGTTGTGTTTTCCTTTAAGTTTACGTGCATTCACAAGTAGAATAACTCCATCGCTACCGTTATCCAAGCGAAGCATGACCGAGCGGTAGTGAAATTGATTCGAGTGTCCAGCGAGGGCCTCGTGTGATGTGTGCACCTGGTGGCCGGAGAGTGTGATGATGAGGACACCGTCTGTTAGGAGGACAGCAGGATGTGCAAGGATGGGTGACGGGTAGAGAGATTGTTCGCAGTTCACGTTTTAGAACCAGGCTCCGGCACACAGCCAGTAGGGAAGCGGTGTCTGCAAACGTTAAAGGGAGTATACATATCTGCGTCGATAGCGTTATCAGTTAAGGTACGTGAAGAGGTCGTTCGTGCATTACTTGTGCTGCTACTACATGCTGAATTCATTTCACCAATACCAGAACTCGCGGAATCTTCGGAATCTTCACACGAAATACCATGCACAGAATTGGTAGTCGTAATCCCATCGTCTGGAGCATCATCGCAAAGGGCTGTAGTCGGGGCGCTGAACATTCCGCTACCAGATGAGGGTAAATAAGTTACCGCGGTGTTTGGTGCGCTTAAACCAGATCTTTCATCATGTAGATTCATGGTATGCAAACCTCTTGACAACTCAATCTCATTGGCGACGTTTGTTCCAGTGTCGGGATCGTAAGCGTGGGAAGCTTCCGGTATTGTAAAATTGTTTGCACTGCCTGTTGGTTGGTTGGTAAGGAGCATCGATGATGGCGCTAATCCGAAAGCATTCACGCAGTGACGCACAGACGTAGGACGCTGGAGATGCAAGTCGGCAGCAGCCGCAACTAGCCTAGAATCCAACGGGTTAGCATGAGGGAGCTGAATCTGCTGTTGCAAAAGTATTGGATAACTGATGCTGGTAGGCACTTGAGGTGAGTTTCCGGCAGTGACAAACTGTCCACTGGTCTCGGGCTTACCCAACGGACCGGTCACCTCAGGAGCAACCGCAATTTGATTGTGCAACAAAGTCGGATAGTATGGGTAAGCCTGCAGGGGGTACGTGGGACGCTGAACAGAGTGACGCGGAAACTGGACGGGGAGATGGATCGGTTGCGTGGAGTAATAAAAAGGAAAGGTTGGTGGTTGTGCTGGAGTTGTCGAATGAAAAGGATGGAGGTGCTGGTGGACACCGGGAGGTAAAGTGGCATGGAGATAAGCAGCTTGTTGTTGTTGCTGCTGCGCAACAGCCATGTAAGCCGCAGTCAAAGCAGCATTGGCCTGGTGCGGGCCGAAGTGGGATGGACAGCCAAGCATAGTGCTGTTGAAAGGGGAAACGGACACAATGGGATGATGTTGATTGGCCATGGAAGCTGCGATAGCAAGATTTAACGGAGTGCCTGCTGAAGACACCTGGGCTAGAGCAGGTGGATAAGTAAAGGGAGTAGAACATGTTTGGTTCATAACATACTGACCAAAGACGGGCGGCTGTCTAAGTGGCAAAAAAGACATCTGTGACATTTCGGAGGCAGATAACGAGCTCAAATGGGCTCCCGACGGATAACTATGGGGACCGGGGATGGATGTGTTGTAAGTAGGGCCACTAGTTTCCAAGGCTGATGGCTGCGTTCCATCAGGTTGGCTCCCACTAAATACAGCAGGTTGCGCATGTGACCAGCCTGCAACAGCAAAGCGGTTACAACCCAAAGAAACACTTGGAAGCACGGTTGCACAGGATGAACTCTCAGAAGTATTTACGGTGAGTGGCGGAGAAACCGGGGATCGACTGCTTGAAGGCACACAACTTGAAGCAGCACTGAAGACTAATGTAGTCATCGGCTCGGATGCTGAAGAAACCGACCGATTGGTGCTTTGGGAGTCGAAAGAAGCCTGGAAACTGACCATGGGTAAACTACTACGGGAGTTAAGTTTCAAGTCAAAAGTAGCATCATGTTGAATAATGTTATGGGCGTCTTGCTCAATTTCCCCAATTTCAGTTGTGATGGGATGAACAGTCGAAGGCACAAATGGCTTTGATGGAGAATCCGATTCAGCATGTCGATCATAGGGCAACGAAGGTTCCTCCGAGGGAACTGAAAAATATAAAATAGATGAAGTTGGAAAATAACCAATCAAAACGCCCGTCGACCGACAAGGGGCTGTGCAGTTCATGGCATTCGAATCCTTAAAAGTTGTTTGGTTTCATATAAGAAAAAACCCGTATCCTCAGCAAAACCAAAATAGTCTAATAAACAGAAGGACGTACACTTATCGCGTCGAGAGACACCACGCACGCCATTACCCATGTCCTCGATGCAAACGATGTTGCTTCCGACCAAAGCCTGTGCTGCTTCATCCTGCGTTGTATTGACAGCGCTCAATCGAGGGGCTTGTATCAACTTGTCCAAAGGTATGGTACGCCGATCGATTAACATACTGAGAAGCGTGGAATCTTTGCTGAGATTTTCGAGGGAGAAATAGTAGTGACTGAAGAGAGAGGAACAGAAGTATTCTGTGTAGTGCACAACAAAAAGCAACGAGACCCAAGGTGTTGCACCGAAATGAAAAAACAGTCATTTTTGACGGAAGTCATCAAGAAATGAAGGAGTCAAAGTGGAGAAACTTACGTAAAATAAAGAATATAACTGAGCTTTGTTGGAAACAACAAGTATTGTTCACGAGAAGCCGTTTTAGGGGCATATGCCCTTCCATCGGGTAAAAGACCGACTTCAATACGGCCACTTGGTTTCGGTTCAGGTAAGAGGTTTTGCAAATCGCCATAACTAACCACCTGGTAGTCTCGATCTTGCTGATCAGTACTTCCGTTGCCCATGATGCGGATGTGACGAATCGGGGGAACTGGCAAATGTCCCAAAACCAATCCGGTCTGGCGAGGTTCGACCAATCCAGATGGCGTCATTGATGAGCGAGGGTAAAACGAACCAGGACGAACGCGTGCCGTCAATAGAGACTGTGTGCGATCTTGTGCCATTGCTGAAAGAAATTTCGAGATGAAATAAACAAACATGGAGAGGGGAGACCTTAGGAGCATCAGACCTTGGAAATGATGACAAGAAACTTATAGCAGTATGACAGGTAACACCAACTTTTCGTGATGGCACATATTGGCTGCGGGATACAACAAGTATGAACGAAAATGACCAGTCATTGAATCAGTATTTTGCATAAAAGCAGAAAAGTCAGCTAGGGAGATTTCGGTTTTTAGATTTCTGCCCTGTAGACTAGGTAGATATCGCAACTAATAATTATATACGCCGCGAATCACTTATCCTGACGTCAGAACGCAACGTGTATCCAAAGTAATGAAGAGTAAAAAACGGCAATACGGGGTTCATTGATAACATGCAATATTTCCAGGTGCTCAACTGAAGGGATGCAACTCGCTGGATCCCGCGCATTCGGTTAGGAACTTCAGTCACTCGACCCCATACGCGTAACCACTGGGCCATAGAAAAAATGTAAGAAGTACAGCGAATCCTCGCACCGAAGCTCCACCGCCATGTAGACATTAAAAGTGATACGCGTACTGAGATGGCGCGAAGAGACTCGAGTTGATCCGTTAACTTCGTCACCCACCTGAGCTACTTTGTCACCGATCGGATCATCATTTCAACTCTCTCGGAATATGCAGCCAGAGAATATCATCTTTCCTCTTTACCTCGTAGACGAAACATCATCTTCTTCCTCTCCAGTCTTCGTCGTCTAATGAACTAAAGACTGCTGCTAACCTCGCAACCGCTACCATCAATACATGTAATTAATCCCACAAAGCAAGGCTATCATTACGCGTTGATCTGTTTAACGTATGCACTCTGAGCCTGTACATAGAACTGCATTGCGGAACGGCTAACTAAGAAAATTTGTACCCGACTAGTTCTAACCATCCACAAGGAATGGAGGAGCTTCGGCGTTGCTTCACCGAACACTGACACCCCATGATCAGTTTCATCCTGGTTTGGACTCATCAGATGAAGATAGCTTGAACTAGGTGGAACTCGGGGCCTAGTGGTTCACAGTTGACACCTTGATCACTATGCCACTAAGATCCATGAGCAACGCTTGGCACAGCGGTAAGGAATTCAAAGTTGGATATGGAGTACCCGCCACGAAGTTGGATTGTGGCACGCAACCTCTTTTCAGACCTCGGTTCACTTTAAAGTAGACCTCGGTAATTCCGATCACATGGACCTTATCCGAAATGGAGGTATTTCGGTGTTGCTCCCCCCAACACTGACACACCATGACAGTCACGCGTTGGGCAAAATTATGGATTGTGGCAGACTTTATCCTTAGTTTGCTGTCACCAGCTGCGTTCGCCAAGATTGCCCTATTTTACCTATCCTCTTCAATTCTGCCATTGACGATGTTGGTCAGACAGTATTGGAAGGTGTATAAAGCGGCGGTGTTGAGCTGCTACCTGGTGACAGTCGCGGACCTGGACTACGCGGACAAGACATGTCGACCTATCGCCTTCTCCGTCGAGCGTTATCTTTGTTTCCCAAAAGCGACTGGAAAAAGTGTCGCGGTGGAGAACCAATGATGTGGAGCATCCGTCGGACCGGTCAGCCTACCCGGATGATGACCATGAGACTCCGACGCGCAGGGGTTGGAAACGCAGGATGTTACGGTCAGTGATGCTAGTACTAGTCTGCCACGTCATCCATTAGTTAATGTACAATTGAACACGAAAAACGCAAAACACACAAACTCAAAATGGTGTCTGTAAAACCAAAAAACCTTTGTTTTCTTCCGCTGTTGTATTTCGCTTGTTTCACTTTTCTCTGTTGTGGTTTTTACGGCACACCGTCTGTAAACAGACTGTAGATGAACCACTACAGTCTGGCTGTCTGAAACACGCATCTGCTACTCCACGGTTCTGAAGCTGCCAACAATCACTACATTCTTTGTGTCCCTGACGACATTGAGACAATAGTTCAAGGCATTTCTAGTGTCGGTATATCCCTCCGCAGACATGATGAAGGCAATCTACTCGACTGGATGCTAGTGAACAACCACGCGTGTGTGGTTCGACCTGGAATCTCTATTAGGGTTAATAGGTAACGTCTGAACACAAGGTGTATTTTCATTAATTCGGACCCCCTCCCCCAGAATGACTGCTGCCCGAAGCGTACCAGGGACGATTTCTATCGTCAGCTTTCATATCCTTTCTACATGGTGAAAACTACCGACATCGTGATTGCTGCTGGTGACATGAATGTCTAATTGGATTGCCCGGTCTTCGGTTTGCGCGCCTGGTTTGCAACCATAAAGTCGCCGGTTCGAATCCGTGCATGGGTGGCCATTCTCGCGATGTACTCAACCCTCGCAAGACTTGTGGTGGTCGCGTGGCAGCGAAGCGCTGCTACGGCGTACAACTGGCGATTTATTATTATTGATTGCCCATTGGAGTCTGAACAACACCTGGGAAGCTGATTCGGGGTAGAGTAATTCAAACAGACAATGACATTCGATTCGCTACAATCTTTATGCCAGCAGCACTGTTTTCCAGTACAAACGTTCACATCATATCAGCATGCGCCCACCAAAATTTCGCAATGATCTGGACCTAGTGATAAGGCCAGCAACTAAAGATGGCGCACGTCAGTACAAGAATGTTAGCCAATTTGGAGTACGTACCTAGATCCCGACCATTCTATAGTGCCGACACACCTGGCGCTCATTCTTCCCGCCTAAAAAACTCACAGCCGGAGTTAAACAATATGATGGACTGGCCAACCAATTGTCAATGCTGAATGAGGTTAGCGAGTCGAACGCTGATTAAAATCGTTCAAGTATGCCAGAAATATGCTTCTGACGCCTGCTGTATATCCAACTTGAGACATCCGAACTGCGAGTGGATCTCTGGGGCATCGGTCAGTTTGATTGAAATAATCAAATAGGTTCCGCTGGGCACTAAGTTTAGGCGCGTCTGGAACGACCTAAAAGGACGTCGAAATCTCTGGTGGGTGGAAAGGGGACGAGATGGAGAGCGCCAGTGCCAGTGTAAACTATTCCAGCCCATCCAGAACAGGGATTCAAGAAAGCGTTCAGTCAGTGATACAATAGTTGAGAAACATTTTAAAGAGCAGCTAAGCAGAGTTGCTGCGACAATGCAGTTTGCTGAGTCACTCGAGACCATGTGGAAAGTCCTAACTAGTACAGTCCGACGAAAAATCGCCAACTTTCGACGATTATTAACTCTTGACCCGCAGGAGCATATGGAATATGCACGACTGGCGATCCTCAAAAAGATGAAACAGCGGTTCAGCGCTAATCCAGATGTGAGGTGGCTGTCTAACTGAAAGCGACTAACAAATCCTCATCGAAAGGGAGAATCATCGAAAAATAATACGTTTGCAAAATTTAGTAAAAATTCGACGATTTGAATAACCTAGTCAGAGGCAGTGTATGTTTCTAGTAGCCAGCGTCCTTAATGCAGGTTTCATGCTGTAGGGCTACGTAGCGTATTAGAGAGCAACGCGCCACGACAAGACTATGACCATATTCCGGGTACCTACAGGCACCCAGTGACAACTTCGTCTCTATAACACAGACATCAATGTGTTCAGTACAGTACAGTTGAACAACTATGATCTGGGCAACGAAGTGCAGTGAATCTATTTGCCATAAATGATGTTAGAATAACAAACAATGATGATAAGAAAAAGAGATTGAAAGCAAACAGAATACAAAGAAATTGAATCAGGACAAAAAAGCGCAGAAGTAATTGGGATGGAATAAAGATTAGCAGCTAGATGCAAGAAACCAAACGCATGGACGCGCGAATGGTATCAGCAGTACGCCGCTTTGCTGACACGCCACGACCACGAGTCGCGCGTGGGCTAAGGATGACCATCACATCACCAGCAATACACGGTAGCTAAGGGTGAAAAACACCTTAGCGAATGTGCCTCAATACAAAAAAGATATTTACTATTATGGAAGACAAAAACCCAAAAGTAACATGATGCTAAATAGCACATTACGCATTGCGTATGAGATCATGGTTGGATGGAGAAGCAAAAGGAGAGTGACGCTGCTCAAACACCTATCACAGAGTGAATATATGGTCCATACAGACCCCCGGCCGGAAACCTGACTGCTCCTCCATAATCTGGGATTCCCGTTCCGCAATGAGGCGACGAACGAGAATTGCGGTTAGTAAACTTTGTCACCACTGGCGTTAGTTTACTACCACTGTGGTCAGCACGGCCGGTTCGACTGACCTTCCTGAATATTGCCACTATAATCGATGCACTCCAGCTGGATGAGATGGCCTCATCCTTCCACAGCTGCTTTACAGAGGACCACAGTACCATCCGTAAATACTGCGAATTAAAGAGAATCCGGACAAACAGCTGGAAAACGATTAAGGGCTATGATAACGCTTCGGACCTCGGCTCCTGTTGGATCCTCTAAACTAGTCGTCCATGAACAAACTTGCAAGAACTGAGTGGGAAGTGGTCCAGAAGCACAGGGCTAACTGAAATGACTTGAAAGTACGCAGTTCACCGAGCCATATGGCGCTCTTTATTGTGTATCAGCACCTCGCGCTATCTCTGTTTGTCTCGCAAACGCCTTGCTTCTCGGGACTAGTTGTGCGGATCAGTTGGAAGAGCTAGCGATAGTTACCTACCGCTACAGACTCATCGACTTTTTGAGTAGTACTGGTCAACCACGCCTCCATGTCAGCTCACAGCCTCCGTGTTAGTTCGTGCCTAATGGTCCGTCTGATTATATTGCGCTCAGAGCCGCCCGGGAGTTTTCATCTGAATTCCAACAGATGCACCGACATCTCGAATACTGGTGACTGATGCAGACAGCTAAAAGTAGTCCATAAAATCAAGTCACCATACACGCACAGCTGCACAGCATACTTTACCATTCAGGAAGAGAGTGATGCCGCGCCGGCGCCATAGGTGGCGAAGTTTAATAAAAGCGCCCCGTGTTTGGCTATACGGTTTGTGACCTCG